CAGCAGCCACCTTCCCAATTTCTTCATCCGTTTGCATGATCTTCTTGATCCGAGCCTTTAAAATATGGGGGGGGGGAGGTAGGGGGAGGAAGGGATGGGGAGATGGGAGAGAAACGTTTTAATGACTATCATCAACGAGCTTCAGAACGTGCTAAGCTGCGTTGGTCCAAAATTCACCTTTACACAACTCGTCTAGCCAAACCCCAATACGGCTTGACCTAGCCCGCACGTCAATACAGTCTGTCTAATTCTGGATCTAATCCAGAAATACTGAATATTTATACAGCGCCGAGGTGGGCCGGTAGATCAGGGTTTTCCAAACTGTGTTCCCCGGATCGATAGAGTTTCGCAAGAACTTGCTGGAGTTTGTGAGAAGTTCCAGGCCAAAAAATTCAAAAAAATTGCTCGACCGCAGCTAGTTTTCTATGAGAGCTTTGCTTCTCAATCAGAGGTTTGGGGAATGGTGTTTTAACTACAGTAACAAGTTTCCACAGCCTGGGAAAGTTTAACACCCCCTGAGTTAGATGACGCAGGAGTCCCACGCCAATCAGCCTGAGCTTGCGGGCCCCCCAGAGGTGGATGATGGGTGCAGCAGTCCAAAACCCTTGCATGTTTATGGCTCGTCGGTCTGATACTTTGAATTAAAGACCTTCACATCCATTACTGCAGATATTATAACCTTACAGAATAGCATGGTGCTACCAGACATGATAAAGGAGAAACTGAGGCCAAAGACCAAGTCAGCTGGCCAAGCTGTTAACTCAGCCCCTTAGCCACTTTCTTACAAATCCCGCCACGTTTCCATGGCCCAGTTTTGAACGGGACTGGGTGTGGGGGGAGAGAAACTGGGGATGAAGCCCCGTCACCATGTGTGTGTCGATGTGAAGCCTCTGAGCATACGCAGAATGCACTTTCGGATCCCCACGTTCAGATCAGGGCTAAGGGATTGGCCGACACGCAAAGCCATTTTTGGCGCCGGGGATGTAGCAAGCAGGAACCTGGATCAAAGACACACCACGATGGGGTAAAAAAAATCCACCCCGTTTTTCTATCAGCCCAGCCAGGTTGCCTCTGCTGGGCTAGAAATCATTCCCATTTGTGGAAGAAGAGAGTCAAGATCTTCGTTGACCCATGAAGGCAAGGAGATCCGGAGGCAGGTCCTGGCGATCCAGCAGTTGTTAAACTATTCTTCCTGGAATTTCTTGCCATTGGTCATGCCAGCCAGAGGCTAAACCACGATCTGGTTAGTGGTGATTTGTCAGAAAAGCTCCAGCTGGCTAGACGCGTCAAGCCAGGCTTACTGTCCAACAAGTTGCACGGTGGCTTAGTGTAGCGTGTGAACCTAAGTACAGGTTGGGAACACAACTCTCCTTGTGAAAAGACAGATTATTCGTTAGCTTGGGAGAAAGAGCAGAGCGTCCGGACCGAGCCTCTATTTTGCAAACAGACCCCCCACCCTCCGTTACTCCAGGTAAAAAATATTAGTTGCAAGAGAGGAGAAACATTTTTCATAGACTGTGACCTGCCTATTCAGCCAACTGGGCCGAAGTCAACAGACCAGAATTAAATCATAGCTTAGCACAACGTGAGAATCCAGCTAGGTACACTCACCCACACACTTCTCTGATTGTTTAACACAAATCACAATCTCCTGGAAATGAGGGCGCACGTTCCTCCACCAAGTCAAGGCAATCCAAAGCCTTTCCACCCTACCAACCAGCTGTTTGAAACAGCAACGGCTGGTCTCCACCCTCTTTGCCAGACGGAAAATTGGAAGCCCAGCTACCACTGTTAACAGCAGAGCCAATTCATATGTCTATTTATTTATATAAGAAATCAAACAACAATAAAATGACAGGCTCTCACCCAAACGGGTCCCTGCCTTTTCGCATAAACCTAGTGGTGATTTAACTCTCTGCCCCCAAGCAAGCAGAAATAAAATGCATATTTCCAATTCACAAGGATACAAGCTTCAGGAGTTGCCAGGAGACCCTTTCTTCAAACAGAAGAAACCTGGTCAAAAGGAAGCTTCATTTATTTACATATGGAGAAAAGCAGAAACACTGGTAAGAGCACACGAGCTGAGAATAATATCAGCTAAAAAAGCAATCCACCGAGGTATAATAGATAATAATGAAAAAGTTTCCAATGTACAAAAACAGGAAAACACTTAAAATGGAGAAAGGCTGTTTCCTGACAGGGCAAGAGTATTTATTTTAATGTGATGTGTAAAGGAACCAAGACAGATGAACAAACATAAAGAGAAAGAACAGGTTCTATTAAGAGCCAAGCTGCATCAAGGCCCAGGGGTTAACCTAGGTTTGTTGACTTAACCGCAACTGGGTGGAGAGCACAATACGCTATGAACCATGATTGACCAGTGTCTAGCTGGGCTAAGCCGCAAACCACACTTGGGCTAAATGGTCTGGGAGCCCAAGTGATTGAAGTTCCTGTAATAAACCAGAGCTAAAACAAATCATAGTTCGATACGCAGCCATGATGACCTCCGAAGGATGGGAAATAGGTCTTCCCAGCTGGGGAAAGGGGACATAAAATGAGGTTCCCCTTTAAGCTACTTGAAATAAAAATACAATAGGTCACCACAGTAGGTCAGCAATAAATGAGAAACGGGAATTTGGATTTGTGGGAGAGAAGGATGGGGAAAAATGCCAGCATTATCCGGCGGGAGACGTGTCAGGAGGACCCCCCAAATATTTTAGTATCCTAAAGTATAGCAAAATAAAAATATTCCTGTAATGGCAACTGGGAAGAAAACAGCTGGAGCAAGGTGTGAAATGATCCAAATCATCTAAGACCATAATCCTCATCGTCTCTCCCAGCCACTGCAGGCTGCAACGCCCATAATCCCCAGCCAACCCGACCCATTGCCTCGCTGTCTAGGAAACGGCAGGGTCATCCAGCACATCTGGAGGCTGCCCCACTGCGGACTGCAGCTCGCCCTGCGTTACCCCGAACGCCACAAACCACAGCTTGCCAACAAGGCCAATGCGAACAGCCGACAAACCAGGTTAAGGCTTTGCCAGAGGAGCATCCATGCGGGCAGGGCCGCGGGAGAGGGCCAGGCGGGCCCCCCGCCCCTGGCAAGGGAGCCGCCAACATCTGTTTCTGCGGGGAGGGGTCTTGCAGCTGCGGCAAGCATCGTGGCTGCCACGGGTCATTCCCAGGCTGGGGATGGGCAGAGGCGGGGGCGGGCGGGCTTTCGCGCACCCCCTCCCCGAAGTAAAGGGGAAGGGGGCATCGCCGGGGAGGGGGCGCGCCATTCCGGAGGAGCGGAGGGGGGCTTTC